GATAGCAAAACCACTGACGAAACTAACAAAAAAGGATGAGAAGTTCGCTTGGACAGCAGAACAACAGAACGCATTCGAAACATTAAAAGAAAAGTTAACAACCACACCAGTTCTAGCTTACCCGGACTTCACTAAACAATTTATAGTAACGACAGACGCATCCGGATATGCCATCGGAACAGTATTGTCGCAAGGGCCAGTAGGCCAAGACCAACCAATTGCATACGCAAGCAGAATTCTGAATAAAGCGTAACAAAACTATAATACAACGGAGAAAGAATTGCTAGCCATAGTATGGGCCGTCAAACACTTTCGACCGTACCTCTATGGAACAAAATTTCAAATAATTACAGATCACAAGCCATTGATCTGGCTATTTAGTATAACAGACCCTGGTTCACGATTAATCAGATGGAGGCTCAAATTAGAAGAGTACGACTATGAGGTGATACACAAGGCAGGTAAAGGCAATACAAATGCTGACGCGCTCAGCAGAAACCCGATCGCGCCTGACACACAGATAAACAGCATAGAGCGCGACAAGGAAGAACGCGAATATAACAAAGAAGACAAGGAGCAAATAATGTACGAATATCATAATGCCCCCCTCGGAGGACATCAAGGCGTAACACGTACCATAAATCGAATACGACTAATGCACAACTGGCACGGACTAATACGAGACGTGGAAGAATACATCGCCAAATGTGAATATTGCCAGAAAAACAAACTAAGCAAGAAAATCAAAATGCCTCTAGTACTGACCGACACGGCAGAAAGACCGTTTCAAAAATGCGCCCTGGACATCGTAGGACCACTCACGGTCACTATGAAAGGAAATAAATACCTACTAACATTTCAAGACGACTTAACAAAATTTAGTAAAGCAATACCGATATTAAACCAGGAAGCAAACACGATTGCCAAAGAGTTCACCACAAAAATAATATGCGAATTCGGAATACCGGAGACAGTACTGACAGATCAAGGAACGAACTTCGTCAGTGAAATGTTCAAGGATGTATGCACCCTCCTAAAAATAACGAAAATTCAAACAACCGCGTACCATCCTGAAAGCAACGGAGCCCTGGAGAGATCGCACAGGACTCTGATCGAATACTTAAGGCACTATATAAACGAGGATCAAACCAACTGGGATGAATGGATCCCATACGCGATGTTCACGTACAATACGACACCGCATACAGCAACGGGCTATACACCGTTCGAATTGATGTACGGGCACCGAGCAACATTACCTACGGCCCTGGCAGCGCCGCCGAAACCATATTATACATACGATACGCGCAAGAACTAAGAGAACGACTCAGAGCCACACAGAAAGTAGCAAAAGAACATATTTGCGAAGCAAAACAAAAAGCAAAAAACTATGCAGAAATACGAATACTAAAACCTTCAAAGTAGGAGATAAGGTCCTCCTGCATGACGAAGCAGTGCGCAGAGGACGACCGAAGAAATTGGAAGCACCATGGATAGGTTCATATCAAATAATCGAGAAAACTTCTGATGTTACATTACAAAATTAAACAGAAACGAAAAATTACGACGGTGCACGCGAACCGACTCAAACTATTCATCGAAGATTAGCAAACAATGCATACGAATAATTACCCGCAAAAAAGCAAAAAGCAAAAACAGTAAAATAAAGACATTAATAATAATGACAGCATAAATTAGAGTTAGTAAAAAGAAAAAATACAACAAATACTCAACAGTCACGCAGGACAGCGACGAACCGCTGCCCGGTGGCAACGCAAACTTGCACCCGCAACGAGTCGCGGGGGTAGAGCTCCTCGCAGACGGGCGGAGGGGGCACAGGAGACCTCTCAACGCAGATTGCTTGAACACGGGGACGATACTCCCGTCCAGACGACTGTGAATGGCCACCTGGACGACATCCTCAAGGCTACCCGTTGGGCCGCCAGGCGGTATGACCGCCGCACGCACTCGCCACACATAACGGGAACATGTTCCCGACCACACCTAGTACACTGCATAATGGAAAATCTAAACTAAAAACCATCCACGACGCGCGACAGACCACGGTCGACGGCAGACTGAAAATAAAAAATAAAAAAATAATTTATAATATTAAACGTAGCACACAAAAAAATGCACAACGAGGATTCACGGAAAAGTAACCTGAACCCTAAACTTGCAGGATGCTCCTTATGTGGAGAAGAGCAGTACAAGCAACACCTGATTCTCGGCATACTCTTGACTGGGAATTGTTCTCGCACCAGCCAGGAATCTACTACGAATCTACTTCGAGGAAATCGGTCAGCTGAGACAGGCTGAATCGGCATGGAGATTAGTGATAAAATTGAGCGCAAAAGAATTAGAGATCAGACACCAGCAATTGCAAGACTATATGGAGGAAACCGCAATAAAGTGTCGAAAAGTAATAGGCAACGCTCAGTTAGGTTGCCGAAACATTATGAGGATAATAGAAAGAAAAATACCAAACTGATCACGCTGTTGACACAACTACAAACGCTATACAAAACGACTGACAAACGACGAGGACTGCTAGATGCGGTCGGGTCGATCAGCAAAATATTATTCGGAACGATGGACGCCGACGATCAGAAACTAATAGACGAGCAACTGCAAACGTTATGAACAAATGGCAGGGTACTGCAGCACGCAGTAGCAAATCAAATAAAAATAATCAACGCCACAATAGCGCACTTGGACGAATTAGAAAATACTCTAAATTATAATGAAAATCTGATAATGAGTGCGATAAAACGACTAGAACAACGGTTGACCGAGTCCACACTACAGGCAGATGTAGACGAACACTTACTAATCCTGACAACGATAATGAATGATTTAACGAAGGATACGGAAAATGTAATAGACTACCTGACATACGGGAAAAACGGAATGATACCGACACGACTACTACCCATCAAACATATAATAACAGCCCTCAAAGAAGCGGCTACACAATTAACCATGGGATTACACTTTCCCTTTAAAATCCAGATTGAGCACTGGCAGACCATACACACATACATCACTTAGCGCGTATTCAGATGGTCCATACATATACACAATCTTGCGATTCCCGGCAGTAGCATATCCTGCATTTAAACTAGTTAAAGCAATACCGTTACCAGTACACGATCATGCGAATGTATTCGCCTACATAAGAATAAACCATCCCTTGCTAGCTATAGATAAAGAGAATCACCACTACAAATTACTAGAGGAAGTAGAGTTAGAACGCTGCATACGAGAAACAAACACATACACATGCGAACAGAACTTCGCGACATATTATGCGGAAACGACAGCACCATGCGAGGTGCAAATATATACACATACACCGGGACAGCTCAATTACTGCGAAAAGAATCATATGATATCTAATACACCGTTGTAGATAACATTGACGGAGGAGCAAGCGTGGCTCTACTCCACGGCAGATAAGCAAGAAATTAGCATTAAGTGCGAAAAGCAAATAGAAGAGAAAATTATATTAGAAGAAACCGAAAAAATAAAACTAAAAGATAATTTCAAACTAATCACACCAAACGTAATATTAAAAGCACGAAAAATTGAGGGAATAAAATATATCCAAAACTACCTCCCCGAATACAATATTAGAAATAAAAAATAAAGACACCGATAAGAATAAGCTAGCGAAAATCGACACGTTACGACAAATAATTAAGAATCCCGTAGATTTAACCAAGTTAAGCATAAGTCTAGAAGAAATAAGAGAAACTCTAGAAGATAGCGATTATAACTTACTCAAAAATAAATACACTGTATACTCTATAGGAACAGGCACCTGCGTAGTAATAATAACTATAATAGGATTAATAACATGACGCACAAACAAAAACAAAAATAAAAAGCAAAAGAAAAGCGAGATGACCGCACAGAGGCGCCGCGACGATGCTATATTATATTAGTCATAAGCAATATGATTATATTACAGTTACGCGACAACATATGTAAACTAACAAGTAAGATCACCTTCCTAGAAGGGGGGGAGGGATGCCGCGAGCGCCAAGTAAGGGAAACATGGAAGTCGAACCCTCCATGGTTCCCTTCCATCAAAGGAGGAGGGATGTCGCGAGCGCTGAGAACGCAATCACGCTCACCGCTGACAAAGTGGATTGCGGCAAGCGATACTTTATCCGAATTATTATTTTATCAAGCGATAGCGACTACCAACGCTACCGTGCTAATCGCACAAATATTGTATAACCGTTCCACGTGAAGCAACTGCTAACCGGGTTGCGCGGCCCTTACGCGGAAAACCGCCGCGCGACCCAGAAATATACCGCGAACGCTGACGAACATGTTGATGACACGGCAAGGATCGGCCGCCTGGAACAGGATAAAAACGGAAGATCGATACTAGGAGAGAACTCGTCGAGATTCGCCGTGCCGTCACATCTGTCGCGGTCCGAATTAAAAAGGACAATCTGTATCAAGTTTTAATAAAATTTATTGATTATCAAACAAAGTGGTGAGTGCTTCCTTCCCGCCGACTCCTTGACCGACCCCCGAAACGACCCGCACAACAGATCCGTCATTTTTCGCGCTCGCTACGCGTGACTACGGGAAGTCTGACCGCAACGGCGATAGAAGATTAGTCAGTCTATTGTTTATTTCTTCGTTTTTTTATTCTATTGCTATTTTATCGTTGTCATGCTTTTATTTTTGTTCTCTATTGTGTACTTTTGTTCTCTATTTTGTATTATTAATGATATTGCGTATGGGATCTTTAGCGAGGTCGTCATTCGTTGGTGTGTAATCGCGCTACTTATATTTGGACTCGTTTGACGAGAATAATCTCACGCGATACAGAATAGAAATTAAAGCGATTTTAATTTCTGATTCGCGACTCGGATCGCGTCGGTCCTCGCCCTTTCGCGACCGATGGCAACATCGATCGAACGGTTCGCGCGTATTTCGGTCGGCGACGCGCAGTGTCGATTCGACTTCTGTCTCGCGCGATGACGCCCGCTCATGGAATCGCCGTGATCGCGTGCGCGATAGCCGTTATCGCAGCGATTCGCGACTCCGTCGCCGACAGCGACGAGGAGGCGATTCGGTTTTTGCAAACCTATGGATATCTGGATGGCGATAACGTGCAAACGATATCAGATAACGCGACGTTGGCTCTGAGACACGCGATTGCGCTTTTTCAGGAGTATTATCGTATACCTGGTGATGGTGTTCTTAACGAAGCTACATTGGAACAAATGCGTAAACCGCGATGCGGTGTCAAAGATATATTAAATGACTTGGACGATTCTCCGAGGAAATGGGCGAAGACGCATCTCACTTGGAACTTTCATCTGGCGAGCGAGAGCGTTCTACGTGTCACTGAAGTCGCGTTCGAAATATGGGCTGCGAATTCGTCGCTGATGTTCGAGCGCAATTCGACGAATCCCGATATCGTGATATCGTTTCGGAAAGATTTTCACACGTTTGTAGATCCTCGGCATCAAGGTAGCCGAATATGTCCGTCGTTGCTGGAAGGACCAGGAAATGTGTTAGCTCACGCTTTTTTACCATCGTCAGAAGTGTCAGAGGTGCACGTGGATAGCGCGGAAAAGTGGCACATCGAGTTAACTGTTAATCCTGACGATACGATTCATCTGTTACATACGTTGACGCACGAGATCGGTCACGCATTAGGATTACATCACAATCCTTTAAAAGATGCGATAATGTACGCTTTTGTTCTCTCTAAGACTTTTCCCGTGCGATTGAGCGAGGCGGATTTTCTTGCCATTCAGAATTTATACGGTTTAAGAAATAAGAGCGAAATTGCGGGACCAGTTACGACGACCGTAACGACGACCACGATTGCGACGCGCGATACGGGGAATTCCGCGGATCTGTGCGCGTTGCGACGCGTTGATGCGGTATTGGTATTAGAAAATAGAATGTATGTGGCGTATCGACATTACTTATAGTCGGTCGATCTAAACGGAAAATCTTACGGTAGGTCGTTGTTACTGACGGACTATCTGCGTTTTCTTCCCGATAATTTTACGCGTTTGGCGGGTGCGTATGGACGACCTTCGGGCCAAGTATTGTTTGTTGACAATACGGTTTATATGATAGAATATCCGAGTTTTGAGCTAGTACCGGGTTGGCCGAGGAAATTGAAAGATATGAATCTTTCTCCTAATGCGAAAATTAATGCTGTGATTAATACTAACGCGGGACGAACGCGATCTACAACGACGAGATCGTGGCCGAGATCGACGATTGCTCGATGATAGCCGTCAGGCATAATTCATTGCACGCGATATTTCCTGGGATTCCACCTGCTGTAATGTCCGCCGTTCGATACATCGACGGTAATCTGTACTTTTTTGTTAAACGACAGTTCTTTAAATATAATGAATTTACTAGAAGTGTAACTATGGCCGGTAAATTTGATTCGGAGATTTTTGGTATCGTGTGTCCAAAGGACGGATTGTTAGAGCAATTGCGCGCTCTTTTGAAAAGACTCGCTCAGATGAGGAACGTGTTTTCGAGCGAGGACGATTTAGAAGAGGAGAGGGAGGAGGAAGAGGCACGGAAGTTTTCGCATAGTGTATAGAGCTAAGGATACGAAACGTTTACGAACAGTATTGCGCGATCTCTTCGATCGTAAAGATGTACGATATCGAGCGCTCGCAGGATTCCGAGACGTGTCGAGTCGACGAGAGCGATGACGCGAAAAGGAGAAAGAGGACGCTCGACGATGACAGATCGATCGCGTCGAGTTATAGTAACGCCGGTTATACGAATAATTCAGTTAGAATTCTAGAACGAAAATATTCCTTGACTAAGATGGGATACAAATTTCTTAATGTATGTATTACTCTTGAGCGCTCCTCGCGCGTGAATATTATTCTGGGAGATAGTCATGGCAAGGAGGTCTCGATGTCGCCCGATACGTGGAGGCAGCTTGTCGAGCAACGAGACGTTCTCTTGAAGTATCTGCAGAGTATCAACGGAGAACCGTCCTTTCCAGTCCCCAGTTGGATATTGGAAATATGACTGTGCGTTTTGGAAAAATCAACAACTTGACGATATTACGCTTGGAAACATCCGTGGCTCGCCTGGCCATGTCGAAGGAAACAGTGAAAAATATGTTCGAGCTCGAGCATTGCATCAGTCGACTCGTTATCTCGTTGACCAAGATATTAGGAAAAATTAATGCGAAATTGACACGTTTCAAGGATATTGCGTTAACCGCTAAGGATAAGGAAAATATCTCGAAAGTTATACGCGATAGCGATGCCTACGATCGTAACGACATTATCGATTGCGAACTCGTTGCTCTGTACTTTGAGATGTAAGATTGAGATGAAATAAAAGTGAGATATATCATAAACAATGTTTTGTGTATTTTCTCAAGCATGTATATAAGTATAGCGAGCGATAAAACAATTCGATTATAGTATAAGCAATGAATCTAATTATAATATATAAGCAATGAATCTAATTATAATATATAAGCACTGAATCTAATATAATGATTAAAAACTAATTTGACATATGATATAAGTCGTTAATGCGATATTACAATTCGGTGATACATTCCCGTCGTTTTGACCACCAGTCGTACAATTTGCACACGTTCTCCATTGCGCAATGCTTCGTGTGACGCTCGCAGTGAAATGCTTGAACGTCGTCCAGAGTGCTTAGGCACCCTATATCCTCGAAATCCGCGTACGTCAATAGTCTCGACGATCATGTCGTGATCCGCGATGACGTCGCCGAGAATTTCCTCTAACCATTTCTTTTTCTCCAAGCCTTTGACGTACACTCGTTTAGACGCGTCTCGTGATTGATCGCACACGCTGTTTCGAATCACGTTCTTCGAGAGTCTATACGCGTCTATACGTCGCCGTCGCTCCACTGCGAGCCGTGATGATTGAAGTTTATCCAACACGCTTTAAATTTTTCCGTTTTTGTAAGAAGATTCCATGGTATCGCTTCTCGAAATATTCGATGGGTCAGCTCTTTTCCATTTTTTAATATTGCCACCTCTTTAACCGTAAATTTTTCTCGAACGGTAAAACCTTGCAGATCGACGAAGATCGGTATGTTTGGCATCGCTCTCGTAGGAAAACCGCGATTACATGAGTTTACGTACGACGTTCGTCAGTGGGTTATACTCTACAAGTCTCTCGTGAATGATGAGACAATAAGCCGTTGTATTAGTCGGAACGTTCTCTTTGCATTCGAATTCTACGCGAACGTCGACAGTGGCGCTCTTGATCGATTCGTTCTGGTGGGAGCAATCGATGACCGTATTGCAGAAATCTAGTGACAGACATAAATGGTTCGCAAGTCTCACATCCGTAATACGTCTTTCGAAATTTTGGATACATATCGTACAGTACTGCGAATTTGTTTCGCTCGAAATCTAGATTCATATCATCGTAGGGATAGAACTCGGAATTCAAATAGAGTTTTACATTAGTCAGCTTACAATTGTCGAATTTAGAAATGTCTTCTGACGGTACGTTTTTTTTTCCGGTCTGTAGCGCAAAGATCACGTATCGCGGTTTCTCCAATTGCGTTGCCGCTTTTACCGCCCAGGAATGCTTGGTCGTACTTTGCAACAACGGAAATTCGTATAGATCCCACGAACGAAAGCCCATGCTCAGATATCGTCCACTGTCCAATGTTCGCAGAAGCGATAATTTGTTAACGTCATTAAGTATCACGTGTGGCATTCGCCACTGTATTCTTAACAAGATGATCTTCGGTCTCTGATCTGAATACGCTACGACGCAATTGTTATCGTTGCGAGCGCGTATCAGAATGAGTTCGTGTCGCGCGTTTATCACTATGCGTTTGTAATCCTCGCAGAAACCAAGGAGTATGTTGAGAGGCACACAAAAGTTAAAATCGTCCAACGCTATAGGCGGTATTTCCCATCCGGTGTTCTGTAAAACTCTATCTCTCTCGTAGCTCAACGATGCATAGTTTTTCATCAAGGTCGTTATGCCGACGTTTCTGCTCTTATCGATCTCCACGCCATTAAGCTCGTATCGAATCTCGTCGAACATAAACGCGTCGCAATTATTGACTAGCTTTGTTCTCGTAACTTCTTTCGCCGTGCCTTCCTTCGCCGTGCCTTCCTTTGCGCTCTCTCTCGTCGCGAATTTTCCTTCGATGTATAGAAAACTTTCACACGGCAACGTATACAGATCCTGTTGCTGAATAGGTATTCGTATCTCGTCGCTGTATCCGAACGTAGTGTTAGCATATGGATTGTAAGTGTGAGTTTCTATTTTCACGATACGATCGTCAAAGATTGGAGCACCTCCGATACTTAAAATGTCGCTCGCCATGTCGATTCTTCACGACGAAACCTAAAGATCTTAAAAATGCAACGTTCGCGGCGTTCAGCTCGTTTGCTCTTCCCTCGTGTGCCTTCCTCGTCGTGTCGTTTTGCGGTGGGATCGCGGATGTAGCGTTTGCGTCTTCTCTTTCTCTCGAGTACCATTCATTTAAAACGAGCATCTTTTGCTTTCGCGCATTTCTCTCTAATGTCCTTCGTCGCACGTGAAGTCGCGCCGTTATCTCTTCTCCACGAAAATCGATCGGTCGCCCGTCTTGATCCACGATTCGAAGCGTGATATTGGTAACGTTTCGCGCGATGATCGGAAAGTAAATGATCGATGTTGGAGCGTTCGACAGTTTATATCCCGGAGGAACATTCGGCGAAAACTCGTGTATCATGTGAACTGGCTCGTTATTGCTGTACGCACCTGCGGTGATATTGCACTCCACCCTAATGATATTTACGCCCATGATATTCACGGGTCCGTCGGACGTATGCCATTTGTTCGGTCGTAGCACGCGCGACGATGAGAATCCCAGAAGCGAACCGATATTGTTCGGTTTCGCGAAATCGATTTGATGCTCGCATTTAATTTCACTTCTCATAGTATTTTCATTGACTCGAATGATCAGAGACCGCGCGCCTCTCTCGCCCTCGTCGCTCTCGTCATAGACGATGTCGTCGCTCTCGTCATCGTCGTTCGTCCTCTTGCTTTCGTCGATCTTTCGCTTTTTAGAGATAGCGGCGTTAAATATCTGTCTATCGCACTTAATTCGTACGAACTTCGGGAATTACGATCGTTTTGTCGTCGTAATAGAACTTATTATTCGTGGAATCGACATTCGATATAGTGTTGTATGTCTCGAAATTCGTGAGACCTAACTCGTAATCGTCGTCGCTCAGATCTAAAGCGGGAAAATAGCACGCCGTGAGAACGCTACTCCTACCGGTGAATGAAAGACTCAGCGACATCGCGACCGATTTTCGAGAGAAATCGCAGGCACAACTGACCGCAAATGTTCTGATTGTACGTCTGATACGATCCGCGATTGTACGTTATATTTACGCCGCCGAGATATCTCTCGAGTTCCCTCGGCGGTCGAAGATTGCCGAAACCGTCGAAGTAAATCGCGTCGTTTCCCCTCTTCGCATAGGCGACCCAGTGAGTACCCGAACCCATCGAGTTGTCGAGATTCACGATGCCACTCTCGTTACGTCGCGCCTTTAATGGTAATGTGTCACGCATAAACACTCCTCTGAAGAAGGGTACTCGTAGACGACGCGCCGAGCGGTTCAATTGTTCGTTCGTCGTAATGCCGGAGAGCGGTAACTTGAGCGATCCTAATGTTTCTTTCCATGATTTTTTTTTCGTTCTTCTCGTTACACCGCTGCCACGTTTGTAAGGCGCTAGATGCAATCCGTGACCCTCCATCGCTCGATTGTGACGTTGCAACTCCTCCAGTTGACGCCGTGCAGTTTTACTGGTGTTTACTGCCTTCGCGACACCCGTCGCGCCACCGATTAAAGAACCGAGCGCGCCTAATATCGGAAAAATGGGTAACAAGCCTCCTCGTTTCACTGTTGGAAGTATCCTCCTTTTCATTGTCGTCTTCCTCCTCTTCTTGCTCAAACCCATGCCTAACTTTGTCTTTGTTTCCATAGCAGCCCATACGGCGGTCGCGGCAGCTCTCTCGCCGAAGGTGGAATCTCCGGCTGTTATACGTTCGCGCGCTTTCTCGGCGAGAGTTTGGTCGGCGTCGTGGCGATCGGCGAGTTTCTTATTTCGCGAATAGGCGATGTCGTGCTCGCGGCACGCCGCATCCAACGGATTTACGCCTCGATCGCCGCGCCAATCGTTTCGCGAGATGGGTGCCGGGCCCACAAAATTGATACGCGGGAATATGTAGTTCGAAAGGAAGCGCGTTTATCGCCGCATTGAGTAGTCCCACGCCGCTAAACATTACAATTTTTGATAAGAGACGTAGGACCGTCTATATGCGATTGTTGCCACAGACGATTATAATGTTCCAGACACACGCGACAATGTTGTACCTCGGGATCCGCTCTCAGATGATCGGGTAATCTGTCCCACAGTAGCTCCACGTATCTATCGAAATCACGCACGAGAACGAACTTCGGAATAAGTTGCAACTGTTGAGCGGATAGATTGAGAATATCGCGTTTGTCCGTTAATAAGGAAAATATACCGATCACTGTGCGATCGAATCGCCGTCGAGTATAAGTGGAGCAATTAT